ACATCTATAGACTAGTATTATATAATGCTATGAATGCACAATGTGACATATCGTGGTATTCAAATCAAACATGTTGCTTAAAGTGAAGCCCTTTTCCTCTACATTCTCAACGTAGTCTCCTTCAGAAGTGTCCGGTCCGACTTGGCCCGGGCTGTTATATCACACAATTAAGGGCCATAAAAAAATAAATTAGTTTTTGTTGAAAAGTGTTGTTTACACTTAAATTAGACAATGTCGTGTAACAAGAGAGGGATTTGCGTTGTTAATAATTTGTTATTTGTGTTGATAAAATGTCCCCGTATGATTCCGTTTTATGTCTTTTAATCAGGCTTTAACATGATAGTATGCTTCAGAAAGTGGCTGCACACCTATATAAGGTAAACACGTTACCAACAGCTGAAATAATACTGTTGTTCTTGGCATCGTGCTTGTACCGAGTGAAGGATTTGGTTTATTGTTTGTTTGTTATTTTACGAAGCACTCAGCAATACTATATCCCAGTGAATAAGCGAGTCTGGACGATACAGTTGAGTGATTGACACCACCAGCATCATCGATCGACTCAATTGAGATCGACGATCAACCAAGTCACACATACATTTAGTCGCCTCTGAAGACAAACAATGTTGCTGGTGACCAGTGTCCTTACCCGGACTTACATTTTGGTTCACATATGAATTGCCCGCTGACCTTTAATTCGAGACAAAGATACCTAGCGCCATTTCAACATAGTTTAAGACATTATCCGGCCACTTAGAAACTAAGAGCTGATACATGTATTTAAAACATTAATCAAACTGAGATAAGAGTAAATGGCGATCTTCGATGAGATCAAAATATATAGCAAAGCCAAGTAGCAACATTGACAAACATTTACATTCGAAAACGTACTGTCACTTGTACAGACTAGAAAAGGCCAGTACTGTCCCTCAAACACATTCTCTCGCTAAAGGTCTGACAAACATACACTGCCGCGTAAACAAAGTATACACCCATGTCTGGTGGTGGCTGAATATGAAAAAGTGGTTATTGCATGGTGACGTATTTGATACGGGTGTCATAGTGACGCTTTTGACCATAAGTTTGCAGTGTTTCGTTGACTGTTTTCAGATTTGTATGTTTTAATAACGTCTGTAATATTTTGGTCAAACCCAATTTTCAAATGTATGCTTTCTTTTGTCCGGAAGTTTATGTTAACGTTCAGAGATGCACACTGGATTACATGCTGTCACTCGAACTATACACTCACTAACTGTCTGACAAACGATGACGTCCGCACAGATAAGAACATGCACACATGAACGCATAGAAACCAACGCATTTATCCACATAATGTGACATGCAGCACAATTGATCACATGCCTCCATCACCAAACATGCAAAAACAAGCACACACCCTCCCACACGAACCCGCACGTACACAAACACGCCGATTTACCGACCGACCGACACACTTGAGCGTACATGGATACTTAAGAATAGCTCGTCATGCCACATGGTTCATCCTCCAGTGGCACTCTGGGGTGGTAAAATCAATTCCAGTAGGTAAAGTACAACATCTTATGTTACGATGAACACTGTGGTGTGATGTCTGTACATTGAGGCGTTGACAAATGCTTCAACACTCGTTTGCCGAAACCAGATCGCGAGACGCTACCATGCAGGACATACTACACCCTCCGATACCCATCAGAAGAGGTGTCAACAACAACACATCCCAGTCGACGCTGGCAGCCCGACCAACGTCAGTTAGTTGTGGCGTATTAAATGCTTTGTCACTAAGTTCAAAGCGGTTTAGCCTTGGCACGAACAGACTACCAGTCAGTTACAAAGTCGTGAATGAAGGCGCCCATTTCTTTGACTATTAACACATTGTTTCGCATAATCTGATAGAACAGGTAATATATATTTCGTTTAACTGAGGTTGTCCTCGTTCCCCGAGACTTCAGCTTCAGCTACAAGTGGCTCATTGTCCAACTAACAGACAGCTATTATTCTCATATAAACCATTAAACGATGGTGCCCATATTGGCGATGTATTCAGCCAAAACGAAGACGACGGTTCAACATGACACTCGAAAATTAACTATAGTTAATCAATCAACCGCCTTGTTATCGCAACTGTAGTTGCTGTACGTCCTGATGTGTATCAGTAAGGTCTTTGTCCTCGTGAACGGGGTATCAACTGTATTCACCCGCTGAAAGGCTTCGGATGTTTATATTGGTCGCATATGCTATTAATCTTCATTCAACATAAAATCTCCATAAAGAAATTAGTTGTCAAAATCATAGTCGCCTTCTACCTGAGAATATATCACAAAATGCACTCTTTAATTTTAGTAACATGCTCATAAAAAATTTTTCCAACTAATATCATCTTTTTTTCTGATTTGTGTGATTATTTAATATTTTCCAACATTGTATAGGAGACAATTTCATGTTCTTTTTTTCTGATATCATTGCTTTCCTTTCGTGTAAAGGTAAATCTTGAAATTAACGCGAGCGTGAATTAAATGCGAAAAATGCGAGTAGTCTTTGCTCGCATTATTTAACTTCACATTTATGACTCCAAATGACTATCAACAATAAATATTTATACAATTTGCCTTTGTTTGTTTAGCTATTTACCCGAAGAATATTTTTATACAGATGCGGTTTATTTCTTCGGTCGCTTAACCTCACATTCTTGTCCAAACTGGGGTGTACGAGACATGTTAATAATGTTACGATACTGAGCAGTATTTGGATACACTCCGAACGCAGCCCGTGTAGAATCAACTAGCACCATAACAAAATCAGGGTAACTTCTCAATCTGCCTACACATTTCGCGCGTTGACAGGATAGTAATTTATGCCATGCTGGGCAATATTTTGTCTAAAGGCTGTCAGTTCCTACTGTCAAACGTGTTTGGCCGGTCGCCAGCAGACTGGGTTTCATTGCAAGTTCAATCCTTATTTTGGATAACATAATGATTTACCAAATGTTATATCTGGAATAACACGTTCTTAGCAAAGTACAGATTATAGTACTTTTTGGGGTAAATCGGGATTCGAACCCACAGTCCCGCAGTGAGGCACCTAATCGCCAGCACACGAAGTCACGACCTAACCTACACAGCCACCGCTTGTGGTTCTTTCTTCTATCGTATCCTCACCCAATCTAAATTGACAGATGAACATGTTGTGGCTTCCGAAACCGTTATATCTCTGGATGTCATTTTTCAAGCTGATGTTTTTTTGTGACGAATGATTATCTTTCATTGTCCCCCACTTTTTGTGAAGCCCATAGACTGACACAGTCACACATTACCATAAACAAACAACTTCACAGAACATACGCCTCTTTGAACTTTCATTTCAAGCGAGCTAAATCTGATAATTATACAATAAAAGCAAGGAAAAGGTTTTACCTGTATGATAACGAACACACCGCTAAGTAAACAACGCAGATCCGCTTGGTGTATATTGTTTAAGCGCTGTTGGTAGTGCATCTGCTGATTTGAGGGAAACTGTTTGAAATGTGGTGGAAGGGGTATCTGGTTGCGCCACATCAACATTCATGCTTATACCATAACAGTAACAAGATGCAACACGTCCCTTTTGTGAATAAGTTCGTCCCATCAAGTATCAGCATCGCTTTAAAACATACGGAAATCGCAATCTCATCCAAATATAGAGTCGAAAATGCCTCCAGCTGAAAGAGACACTGTCGTCAGACAGCGAAACTATGAACGACTGAGGCAACACATTTTCACATTTGGTTATTGGTACTTTATCTTAGCGATAATATTTAGCAATATTTCTCGGAGGATATCACACGATTGTAATTTTTGCAATCATTCATTTTGACAACCGACGACTTTTATGAATCACATATGTAAATGTAACTGTATACTAGTATATGATTTACTTTAAATACAAATTTTATATATTTACAGACTACAATACTTGATAGGACTTGTCAAGCAGCATGCAAATGTCCAACCCGCAGTAACGCCTATCACACGACCGTCATCTTTACTTTGAAATCCTCACAGCTTAAGTGCTAGAAAATGTCGAGTAGTCGCAAACATTATGGAACATGTATTCACGTGTACACAATAGGGACCGGCATACCCCTGAGCAATTAATTTGAAACTTGCCGATGCGTCACACCAACCACGACAGCCGACAGCATAGAGCAACATTTTGTTTGTCTGCCAACGCAGTGTACATTGATAACTCTGTGACTGTGATTACCAACGAATGAAACATGTGCCCTTATTATACACATTAGCGTGATCGTTTACAATGCCAACACACGCATGAAAGGTCACATGCACCACAATGCCCTTCAGAAACAGATCGTATGTGTTGATATTCATGTGCACACAAGAGAACATCAAGGGGCTGCGATAACGTTTACAGTGAATGAATATTCCACTCTTCATTTTGCATCTGTATATCAAGTTACAGCACACACACACACACACACACACACACACACACACACACACACACATCCATGTAGTCACATAGTCAAAGATTCCTATCAATTGAACAAATGGAACTATGTAAACATTACAGATCACGCACACTCCTTACACTCCAACTTGAGTAAAACATACAAAGTGCGGACTCACAATTCTAAATTCTAAAATTGCACGGTAATCTAGAACGGCTTAAACGGCCGATCACATTACTCGCCAGGAAAGTTGACCTTGGTCTTTCAATCACTAACTGCAGCAATATACGTTATCGTCAACAGCCTGAACATTCTCATTGTACGCAGGAGCACCACCAGCACAGAATGGGACAGCACTTTCCCTATCTGCTGTTCGCGAGCAGATAGATTGTTGACATTTGAAAAAGTAACGCAGAAGCACACATACACCAAGAAAACCAGAACCGTTGTATACGTAGTAATAGGGGTATGACAGACATGACATTCAAGACAGCATGGACATGCTCGTGCAGTGTACACTCGCTCAAATCGAACACAACTGCAGCAAAATACCTACCTTAATGTGTCACCTGAATTTTACACCGCGAAACAACTCCGTCTACGGTGCAGGAACAAGCGCTACTACATTGCATGTTTACGACCCAGATGGTGCTCCTATTTCTAAACTATGTCAGCGTTTACTGAATGGCTGTCGGGGAGGGAACATCCCGGAATGACCGCTTCTACTGTTCAAGGAAGGCCAAGCATTGAAGCGTGTTGATCGGCACAACAATAGAGGATTATAGGGGCCGTCTCACAGGCAAGTGAGCAAAGTTAACGAATGACATTTTAAATAAACTGATTAGTGACATAAGTAAATATGTGATTACTGATATTCCATCAGTTTCATTAATGCTATTCATACAATTTCATTAGTGATATGTACTCAATTGTGGTATAGGGCTTGGCGTTTAGAATTCGTCTTCAAGTCATTTGGGCTAGGGTTCAGCTTCATGGCCCTGTCACGCTACAACGTGTAGCGGTAACGTACAATGTATGGCAACGTATGAGATGTTTTGCTAAAACGTCGGCAACGCTGAAACACGCTATGGATAAGTTAGGTGTAAGTTGTATACGTTAAAGGCGCGCTGGTATACGTTGTGGTATAAAAATACAAAAAGGGAATTTAGACGTTTACACCCAAAATCAAAATGAAAACAGCGCAAAGAAATAAGTACAGAACTAGAAAAGACATGTGAAGCCGATATAAATACATTCTATAAACATGTTCGTAAGTTGAGACGCAAGAGTCCAGTTATTGATAAATTAGTTTACAATGGACGTAGTGCTGTTTCTTCAGCTGATATATTTAAACTATGGGGTGACTATTACTCAGACTTGGCAAAACCTCACCAGTCTGATGATTTTGACGAAAACTTTAAACTCACCATTGTATCAAAACTTCATTATATCATGGAACAAAATCGTCATAATCATGATCCACTAGATGATATCCTGTATACAGAAATCCAAGTCCCAGAAATCAGATCACATATACACAACCTTAAAAGAAACAAATCTCCAGGACCTGATGGCATCACAAATGAACACCTGATATTTGGAGGAGAGATGCTTGTAGTAACCCTCAAACACCTATTCAATCAAATACTTGCATCCCAGTATTATCCATGTGCCTTCAGAAAAGGTATGATAATACCTATTTATAAAGGCAAAAACGACAAACATGACTAAACACGTAACTACAGGGGCATAACTCTTACATCGTGACTATCTAAACTCCTAGAGAAAATCATTTTAAGTAGAATAGAAAAATATACACCCAGTAATCTCCAATCATTCTCCGATGCTTTACAATTTGGTTTCAGAAAGGAACATGGAGCAATCATGTCTGTATTCACCGTTTTAGAATGTGTTAATTTTTACCAAGAAAGAGAATCAAAAGTGTTTGCTGCATTTTTAGATAATGAAAAAGCTTTCGATCGTATTTGGCACGACGGTCTATATGTTAAATTGCATGACCTTGGTGTGAAGGGTAAATTATGGAACTTACTTTTCTATAGCTATACAGACAGCTGTGCTTTTGTATCCTACAACGGAGAAAGATCTGATGAGTTTCCCATTAAACAAGGTGTTGGGCAAGGTCGTGTTATGTCAGCATGGTTCTTTCTCGTTTTCATAAATGACCTTATATGTGAACTAAGGAAAGCAAACGATGGCCTCTCTGTTTATGGCATCTATGACAAATACCACTCTTAAAATGTCTGTACAGTCTCAACTTGTTTCCTCCCACACTTCTCCTGCTGTGAGTTCTCAGTTTGCCAACTGGCTCTAAAACTCTCCTGGATTTTGGCACATATTTCAGATGTGATAAAACAGGTGTGGAAATTGTTCTTAAGAGAGATAAAATGTTCTAGGTTCATACTCCTCAACTTATCATGTACTCGTTTGTTCCAGTTTCGCTTGCGACGTTCTGCTTGGGTGTTGCTCAAGATAAAAACTTTAGATAAGGACCGTTCAGTGTGTATGGAACTTAGACGTTTATACAACTTCGTAACGCTTTTCCATTGTCTCACACATGGATGAGTCCATCCCATATCACCAACCAGAGCTGCATTTGGCGCGTATTTGTTGAGTCCCATATAGAACCGCATGGCTCGATTATGTTAGGCATTGACAGCTGGCACGTTGTACTGACCCCAGATTGCAGCTCCATACTCAACTATAGACCAGACTCGTAGAGTTTAGTGTACGTCTGGTATCTCATTCCTCCCATCACTTTGTACTTTGATATGAGGAGTCCAAGTGCTCGGCTTGCTGAACGTGCTGCCACCTTGCCCATCCGTCTATAGTCTAAAAATTCAGTTAGAAAGAGTCCAAGATAGGTGTAACTGTCTGATACTTCCAGTTCAATATCCCCACATAGAAAAGTAGCTTCTGTCTTAGGAGTTGCAGGATTCCGGAAGTGGATAACCTTGGATTTGGCTTGATTCACTGTCATCTTGTTCTCTAAACACCACGAGTTTAAACAGTCCAACATCAAGTTCAGGTTGTTCTCATTCTCGGCTAGAAGGACGACGTCATCTGCGTAGGCAAGAACATTTACATATTCTTCATTGATTTGGACACCAAGTGAAAGCTGATTGATACGGGTGATGAAGTCGTTGATGAAAATGTTAAAAAGGAGGGGTGATAGCAAACAACCTTGACGAAGCCCACATTTCACTTCAAACCACTCCGTACAAACTCCATTCAATCTAACACAGCTGCGTACGGAGTCGAACAAAGATACAATAGCATGATACATATTGCCTTCAATTTCGCTCTGTATTAATTTTCCCCATAAAATAGCTCTATCGACACAGTCATATGCTTTTCTAAAATCCACAAAAGCTACAAAAGTTTGTTTCTTCATACTCTTTCTGGATTCAATCAGTGAGTTTAAAGCGTATATGTGTTCCGTTGTGGACCTTTTCTTCCTGAAACGATTTTGTTGGTCTGCCAGCAAGTTACGCGTCTCCAGTTAGTCTGGTGTTGAGGATGTTGCAGTACAGTTTATAGCAGGCACTTGTCAGAGTTATACCTCGATATGATAGCGGGTCTCTGGGATTAGCTGTCGATGTCTTAGGAATTGGATTGATAATGCCTTTCCCCCACTCTGTTGGAATCCTCCCGGAGCTAAAACACATGTTAAAAAGTGTATATAACAATTGCATGCTAGCTGCATTTTTAAAGGACCTCTGTTGGAATATCATAAAAGCCACACGCTTTCCCTGTCTTTGCTTGAACTAGAGCACTGTGAACTTCCTCCATGGATATCTCTGCGTTAAGTCCAGATGCATTGGTTGAGTTTGATGTTGACAGGTCACCGATGACGTCATGATGACGTACGTCACTCGTGTCACTTACATTACTGTTCAGCAGTGTCGGGAATGCCTTACACCATGTATCCATAACAGTGGGTTGATGACTTGTAATAGTACCATCTTCCAGTAATACCTCCATAGGGATTACCTTCTTTCTCTCGTCAGCTCTTCCAGAATTACAGAGTGACTCCAACTCGTCCAGAGTATCACGAATATGTTGTCGCTTCCGTAGCTTTACGGTTTTATCAAACAGTTCTCTTTGTTCCACATACACAGTCTTTAGGGGTCTTTTATCTTTACCCGTACTTTTACACCAAGCTTTCTCAGATTTACACATGTCATTCCACTTTCTAGTTAGGTCGTCGTTCCACCAAGCCTTCTTCACTTTCCGTTTCTTGTTTCCATTCCGTATACTTGAGAAAACTCGTCTGGAAGGAAGCTTTTCATTCATTTCTTTTTTCACCTTTTTGACGAAATTGTTAAAACCACTATCAATATCACGCTGTTGATTCTCCGACGTTTCCAAAGACAAAATGGTAGCTTGTATACCTCTAAGGCATTCTTCAGACGAAAGGAAGTTTTCAGTGACACACGAGACATCATGTTTAACTACGTCCCCTGCCTCTACATAAGTCTGACCAGTGTCCGTCATGTCTGTATGAGCTGTGTCTTCATGAAGCACAACCTCCCATGTCAGAAAGGAATGATCTAACTTCGCAGCTGCCTCAGCGTCCACCACTCCCGTCAAACCTGCACTGTCAACTACGGCGTCTGGACGATGTACACTGAACTGCTTAATATTTCCAACATTCTCATAACAGCATATACAATAGTCAAGAACAGAAACACCCCGAGGAGAAACATACGTAAAATCATTTTTTGTGGTATCACCACGCCCATTAACAATACACATATTTGCACTGACAAGAAAGTCAATAAAAAATCTACCATGATTATTGAAAACATTGTCTAAAACAGCTCGATCGGGTAGAAAGTCAACTCCTTCAATGAAATCTAGTTCGCTGCCACATCTACTGTTGAAATCACCACATATATACACGATGTTTTCATTCTGATATTTATAAATTAGGGTTAAGAGGTTATCGTAAAAGTCAGCTGCGTCTACGTGTCTAGATGAGTGTTCAAGTGGCAAGTAACACACACACATTGTGGAAACACAGTTTCTAATATACTTATGTACCAATTGTATCCAAAGTATCCCTTCATAGGAATTGTCAAGAATATGCACATCATATTTATTGAGAATGTCAGTCTTTATGAGGAAGCCGACTCCTCCGGAACCTCTCTTTGCATTCTTATGAATATTAGTTCGGTTTTAACCAAACCATGAAAAGCCGTCAATATTCAAACTGTCATCACCTGTGAGATGAGTTTCAGAAATACCCAATATATCATATTCAAGAAAATTAATACAGGCTTCTCGTAGGACATAATTATCAGTTAGTTCATCTTTACACCAACCGTTAGCATTCCAAAACCCACACCGGGCCTAAAACCGAGTGGACTGTTGATATGGTTGTCGCTGACCCCTTGAACCTTGACCTTTGCCCTCACGACGCACTCGATCTTGATTGGCCAATCTCGTTGAGTCACGTTGTGTGTGTTTATCAGCAAACCCACGTGCTTCGCTGTTGTGGCGATCGTGAGTCCTGAAGCTGTTATCTCTGCGCTGTCGTTGATGTTCTCTGTCGTGTTGGTCGCTGGTCCTGCTGCCGCTGGGTCTGGGCGTTCTCTCCCTGCCCACTCGCTGTATCCTGCTCCCGGATACCTTCAGACAACCGCCTCCAAGTGTGTCTGCAATCACCTTCATATTCGACTCGAAGATCCTTTGTTGTAGGGGCTTATCACTTGCTATATACGCTGTCTTGAAATGATTGCTAT